GAAGTTGTGCATTCTTTACTTTAAAGTTGGTATTAATGAATATTTAGACACTGATTCGAGGCTAACCCTGTGTAAATGAGTCTGTGATTAAGGAACACAGCGATGTAGACCCCTTGCACTGAGTTCCGAGAGGAATCGTTTTGGGAGACAAAACAATGGACGTTTTTTCCATAAGAAAAGACGGTATATTGTTTTGTCTTCCCAGAAAAATTCCTCTTGGAAATCAATGCAAGGGGTCTATGGTACGAATTCCAGAAAACCTATTGGAATAATCTGGAATAGACATGCCATAACAGTAGGCACAGCAATAGAGTCKTTCTTCCTTGGGAAACTGAATTCTTTCTCAAGTAAATCAGATTAGACCAGACTCAATTGTTCCTGCCTCCTGTCATGGCTGCTATCACGTGATGGTGCAAAGCCTCTATATATGCTGTGCCTATGATTTATCACGAATTAAAATTGTGTTTATTAAGGTAAATGTCATCACTTTGGAATTCATGGCACCGACTTCCCTAGTTACCGTTGCTATGTCCCCCACAAGCTCAACAAATTAGCTAGAATTTAAAGAACTTAAAGCTCTGATCGCGAAAATTGATCATAAATTGTTTCAATTGTATACTTGTATAATATATATATAAATAAAAAATAAACTTCAAAGGAATCAAAAGAAGATGAAATTCATTAAAAGCGAAAAGGCGAAATGTACAAAAATATTTTAAAAAGTTGGCAAAAATCACGTGGTTCGTAATTACTAAAAATAGAAAAATATATGTTAAAAGCATGGAAAAAGCAGATAAAGAAAGATAGATCTATTGAGAGAGAGAAAGAGAGTTTAATGACAATGGTAAAAATAATAAGTTCAAATTTCATTTTTTCTCGATCAAGACGCCAGTCTGTCTTCAAATGATTGATTTAATCAATCCAGCAATTCCCCAAACTCAATGCATTAACACTCTCCTAGCTGCGTCTCCAACCTAATCAATTAATCAAAATTCGCTATTTCACTTAGCAAGTCTTAGTCATAATTCCTCGCCCTCCTAAGGTCGAAATTTTGACAGACTGTTTCTGATTGGTCGACATTTCGTCAGGCTGTTTCTGATTGGTCAGAATTAACAATTCATTTTGCCATCTGTTTTTATTATAATTATATGTGGGCAAATATTCGGGGGAAGAACCGCGGATGTTGTACTAACTCTTATTACAACCAAACGTGTATATTAATTCCATTTTACGAGGGCTAGAAAATCATAGTTGAAAGATTATTTTTTAATGAAGATTTCCAGCTACAAGATCGAAAGATTTCCTCGAATTCTTATTGTTAACTACCTTTAATTCTGTTAAAAATTATTTTGCTTTCATTTTGTGCTAAAATGAAAAAAAATATGTTTCATTCTTCTTTGTATTATCTTTAGCCGTAAACGATTTACAACTCGATGTTTTTGCTATGCTTATTAAGAAACCAGTGATGATAAGATGGTTACCTCGAATCTGTAAGTATTTTTCTGTTATTGAAGTTAAACTCCATCTTCCAAAAGAAACATTTTGTGTTTAAATTATTTTTAAACCGAAGAATTATACTTAAACAAAAATATAAAAATGTATTTTTCATAGCTTATAATCGAATTTATCATTGTATTTTACTTTTTATTATATATAAAATGTATATATTTTCACGGGTTTTTCTATCTGGAATATTTTGTTTTGAAACCCAGGTTATTTTGTAAAGTATATATAGGTTATTTTTGTTGTTGTTTCTAGTGTGTAGACTGTAGTTTTTGCGGGATTTCAAACATGTTAAATCTAAGATTTGCTGATCAATGTGTTGGAAATTATAATTTTTGGTTTTCTCAATAATGAAGCGGAAAAAAATCAATGGAGTGAGAAATGTTCACTGGTGCTATTCGAGTTGAATTTCAAAAAAATTCAAAAAAGAAAATCGGGAACCCAAAATAATTCTTATAAAAATGATGACGTTTTTAACTTTAAATTTGTTCAGAAAAAAAGTAATTTTAAGGTTAAGATAAGTTGTATATTTGGAAGTAATAGGGAGTAGAGTGTTTCAAACGGAATATTCACTGGAAGTTCGACTATCTAACCTCATTTAAGAAGCAGATGGACTTGGCTTTGGCTTAATCTGCATTTCCAATAAACATCTATTGAAAAAAACCTTCAAATGCATCTGAAAATCTCCCTGGATGGTCTATAAAAGACTTTTGAATTTCCTATATTTTGTGCAAGCTGTTAGGATCATAGTAAACGACGTGTAGTTATTATTTCAATGTATAGATCTGCACAAAGTAGTGAATAATTTATAGATGCATTTCTATCGCTTCTCGGTGGATAGCCGAAAGTACAAGCTTTTGTTCAACGACGTACTATCAAGCGACCGCAGAAATTCCTTACTTTCAAATACGAAATTCAATTAAGAAAGCATTCCTAATCCCTAACTTTCAGACGTACAATTCGTAACTGATTTTGAAATTGAATCTCTAATCCCCCTTTGCTATACTTTGCTATATTTTTTGTTTAGTTTTGAAGAACACTTAGAAACATTTAGTTTGGGAAAGTGGTTAGAAAAACGAAGCAAAAAAGTTCAAATGGAATTGGAATGCGAAGTAAATTGCAAATTGCAATACAAAAAAAAAAAAAAAAAAAANAAAAAAAAAAAAAAAAAAAAAAAAAAAGAAAGAAAAGAAAGAAAGAATGACTGCATATTATTTGGAAGTTCTGTATATCTTAAAGTTGTTGGTGGGCTTTACTGGCTCAGATGTGAGACAGCTGCAATCCAACAGCAGACAAAGTAGACATGTACATACAGCGATATTGAATTTGAATTTGAAATTTAAGCTGATAAAACACTCAAATGACATTCCTGTCTACTGGAATGAGAACACTCTTGGTCTAATAGAACTTAGCGATGATCTAAATTTCACTGATCCAATGTCATCTTCTCCTCACTAAGACTTGATTTTGATGTAAGAAGCTTAAGGAGAAGTCGCAAAATCATCAAAGTTTTTTGATTACTTTAATGACTAGTGTGCACTTGGTTTAATACCTTATCGCGAGGGTGCTCGTTCCTTAAAAGAGTCGTGAAACATTTTTACGTGATCAAGGTTAAGATTTGGTCGAAATTTAAACACATTGTTTCGAAAGGATCACCCTCAAACCAATATATATATATATATATATATATTTGTTTTTATCTCAAATGTTCAGCTATCCAGTTTGAATAAAAAGTCGATGTCTGAAAAGTGCAGTCGCACCTCTGCATCCATTTGTTAATGCAATATTCGCTTACAAGCTTTGTCGCGCTGGGGATATTTCTTGCGGGAAACCCTTCTTGACTACCTTTTCTTATTTAGACTATGACCTTCGTTTTTGAGTTGGAAAGGAAAAGTTGTCAATTTAACATTAAGTACATATATGATAAGGCAAGGAGACAGATCGTTTTCATATGATAAGTGATTAATAGAGACAGATTTGATTGAAAGATGAAGAATGGTAGGCAATAGTCCCCTTCACAGTTCCCTGCGCCACCTTGAAAGGTAGCCGTGTCTTTGCATCGAAGCAAGACGAACGGTGAGCTTGCAATGATAGAGACGTGTGAATAATTGTCCAAGGTGTTAAAAAAGGTCTCTAACACTGCAAGCTCACCGTTCGTCTCACTTCGATGCAAAGGCACGGCTACCTTTCAATTTGGTGCAGGGAACTTTGAAAAGGACTATTGGAGTAGCCTGAAATATAGAATTACTATGACTAGGATGATTTAATGTTAGCAAAAGAAATAAGAAAGCAAGCAAACATGAAAGAAAGTAAGCTAATGAGAATATCTAATTGAAAAAAGAAGGAGGTGAAAAACAAAAGAAAGAGAGATGAGAAGAAACAAAGAAACAAAATAAGAAAGAAAAAATCAAAGGAAAGGAATGAATGAATGAATGAAATAAGGAAGGAAGGAAGGAAGAAAGTAACAAAGAAAGGAAGGAAGAAGGGAGCAGGAAGGAAATAAGGAAGGAAGAAAGAAAGAAAGAGAAAGAGAAAGAAAATAATGAAAGAAAGATTAACAGGAAAAAGAGGTTGCTGTCAAGCGGTTCTTTCAATATCAGACAAAATTCTCTCAACGTAATTATTATATAGTTGATTGTTTTTTAGGAAATTGCTTGTGTGGACAACATGACTACTGAGACTGATAACATATATAAGAGTATTTACTGTCTATATGTCAATATTTGGACCTCAAACAGAAATACAAAAGCTGCAATATTTTGCACTTGACTATGAGTCATAAACTTGCTCTTTTTTCGTTTTTCTCATTTTTTAAGAAGCAAATACGTTTAATTTGATTTTACTAAGCTTTTCGATCATGAATTTTCACAGCTTTTCTTAGCGCTCGATGCAATTACAAAAATCCCTTGCATTTTAAAAGTTACCTATAGCTTATCGCACTGAACTCTTGAACGTAAACAATACAAATTTTAGAACTTTTAAGTTTAAAAAAATTAATTTAAAAATTGAATCCACAAGCATTTATGAATTAACTATTGCCCATTTATTTTTAAAACATATTTTTCTTCCTGTCACTTACCAACTTTGATCTTTCCTGAAGCTTCTGCAGCTCCTCCAGGAAGCAGACTTTTGACGTAAATTCCACCAAGTTCACTTCCACCCTGTAAATCCAAGAAAAAAGCTGAATAAGATGGTAGCACGTTTTTCAAGCCATGTGGGATGTAGACATTTTCAAGGTATGTTTCAAGGCGAAAACAAGGGGGTGAAAATGCTGATAATCTCAAAAGGAAATTAAATTGCACAGTCATTAAGAAAAATTGAGAGATTTAGATCCTGATAAGGTACTTCTTTCGTAAATGTGGCAGGATTTTTTTGCAAAACACACATAATGATCCAGTGATAAAAGTACGGAAATCATGAACCGATTTTTCACAAAAGAACAAAAGATTTTTAGTTTCCATAAAAAATTATGAATGTCATAAAAAAATATACCAAAAATTTAAATTTTCTTAAAATTTCAAGATTTCAAAGATAATCTACATTTTATATTTTATATTTTGGCATTTTATTGAAATTCCATCTTGGAATGGCTGAAAAAAATCCGGATCGAAAGAATTTATTGTTTATTGTTTCAACGGATATTAGCTGTCTTCACTTTCTCATTTTGTCCGACGTATACGATTTTCTTTAAAGAAAAATGACTTCAAACTGACAACTGTCAGTTCACAATGCAAAATCTAAACCCATTTTTTATACTAAAGAACCATGACTTTTAGATTGAGTTATGCAAAATGAGAAAAAAGATTTTGAAAAAGTCGAGCAAATTTTTTCACTTTGATTACATACATACATAGACTTTATTGGATTCCCAAAAGGGCTTTTCAGGCCAATTTACAATAAGAACGATTCTAAAGAATCACATGTACAATCAAAGAAACTGATAAGATAAAAAAATTAAAATAAATAAATAAATAATTCTTGCATTCTCGTTAAAGTTTGGTCATTGAACTTTCAATTTACCAGTTTTGAAGAGATCTACAAATAATGGATTTCCATCTAGACAATTTTTTTTTTCATATACTCATTACCCATCAAAAAGTCAATATTATATTCTGCTATGTTTATTCAAAAACTTTTAGCTTATATTGTGGTGTAGATATCTAGCCAAATTACTACAAAAAAAGAAAAAAAAAAAGAAGTACGGAATCGTTCCTTAGAAGTAAATGTTCCAATATACGTTTAAATTTAAGGCTTTTTTCTTTTTTTATTCCCCACTTTAAGGATGAAATATCATCTTTTTTTTTACATTAGCGTATAGGCTGTTCGTTATGAATCTTAAACAATTGATTAATACTCTTGGTAGATTTGATGACCAAATGGCTTCGGTCTGTTTGAAATCATCGGCAATAAAAACAACTTTTTTCTTACTTTGCGCTCTCGTATATTATCAAGCACGTATACAATATACACATACATATTTATTTTTCTCTAAAATCTAAAAACTCAATAATCCAAAAAAACCTTATAAATCTTAGAGAACAATTAATTTGTTCGAGTTTTAATATGTTATTTTTTGATAAGTTATGTATTTTTAGTGAGATTCGTAGGAATCGAGTTAGGTTCTTTCACTTTCGTGGAATTTTTTAACTATATTTTTGATTCAAGCAAAGATAAAATCGCAAAATTTTGAAAAACACTTATTTGAAATTTTAAATAATTTATTAGCTTTTTTTTACAGATCTCAAATATCGATTCAACTATATCCTCAAATTCATAGATCTAGTTAACATTGTTGTATTTTTTCCAGAAATCACCGAAAAAAACTTTTATTTTAAAACATTTTACACGAGTTTGACACTAATTTAATTTTAACCTTCAAAAAAAAAAAAAAAAAACGAAAATTTTCATCAAGAATAATAGCTTAAGCACCCTAGTGTTAGTATTGTTGATATCATGTAAGATATTCACTCTAAATAATGCCGACTTCCCTGATACTCACACTTCAATATTTGTTATTTCTACTGAATATATTATCGTATAATGGAGTTGAAAGTTTCAAAATATTATAACATTTTGTTATTTAATTTAAACTGCTTTAAAGAGCAAAACATGTCAATATTATTTTGAAAGACATTTTTGGAAAATAATTTCGAATAAAAAAACGAGAAATTTTTAAAGATTGACAGGTTATTTTTAAGCTTAAATTATGGGCTAACTTGGTGTTTGTTAGGTCTTATGGCTTCGTAAAATTGACGAAATTGTAAATTTCATACAACAATCAATCAAATTTGTCAAAATGAAGTTGAAACGAAATGTCGTATTTGAATTTCAAATTATTAAGATTCATGATCAATCAAAAATAATTCCATCGGCAAAAAATATTTTCATATGAAGTGAATGAAGCTTTCATTCCTAATGAATAATTTATTTTATTCTAATTTAAGAGTATTCGTACGCTGAAAACTAGGACGAAAAATAAATGGTATAAAGATTCTTTAAAATTTTCTTGTAAAGGAAAAGAATTCGACCAATGTCTTCAATCGAAATAACTTCTTTTGCGAATCAGATTTCACGATTCTATTTTTTTAAATTTGGACCATTTTGTGCGTTTTGCAAGAGATGTGACCAAGCGAATGCATAACTTTTGCACAGCGGTTTTCTTACCATTACATTAAGCCCAAAGCTACCATTGAGTTTAGGAATTTCAATTGGAATATAATCCTATTTATAGAACATGTAAATACATTAGTAATGTACTAATTAGTACTAGTTATTATTATTAATTTTTGCTCTCTGAGAGATTTGAGACCTTTTCCATATTTTGACTGTTTCATTCAAGTGTCAAAAATTTGAAAACAAATGATCAAATTTTGACGCGTAAAAAATACACCAAAAAAAGTGAAGGAAATGATCGAAATCATTTTTGATTTTTACTTTTATTTTTATCACAAAATATCTTCAAAAATTTCTATATCGCTATTTTCGAATTCAATTTATTTTTAAGATAAATAAATAGTTAAAAAAAATTTATAATCATTTATATTTAGCTTACATTATAGAATGTTACTTTTAATGATATGGAAAAGGTCTTTCCCCCCAGCTTTATACTAACTATATTTTAATATTATTTATTTCAGAAACAGGTAAAGTTTCAAGCTCAGAAGGAAATGGCCGCCCGTTTGGGCATTAAATGAAATATCAAGTCAAAATTATTACAAAAATGAAAAAATAAAATAAATAAATCCTTGACTTTGTTACTTCAATAAATCCCCAAAAATGTAAGAATTCTTACAATAAAAAAAATGAAAATGTGTAACAATGTATGTTTTGTTTCATATATGAGTGTAAAGCGGAGAAATAGGAATATAGAAAAGGGAAAGTTGAAAAACTGAAAAGAAAGGAAAAGAAAAATGGGAAAAATGCAGGAGCAAATAAAAGAGAATGCATGAAAACAAGACAAAAGAAAGAGAGAGAATAAGATCGTTTGGAGATTTTATTTTATAAAGTTACAGAGTTTTGTTATAATACAACGACCCTTTGAATAAGCTTTTGCATACGGATTTCTAAGAGATAATGAGAAGAAAGTTGTACAAGAAAATACAAGAAAAATGTCAGAACTGTAAAATATGGAGCAGAATTTACATGAGCAGCAATAGAACACCGAATTGACACCTAAATGGCTTCCTTATGAATAAATATATAAATCAATAAATGAAACTGACCGAAATTATTGTGGGTGTCATGATGCAGTTATTTTGCCGCTCATGTGATATCAGCCCTGTCTGTTGCAGATAACATATAGAAATACCAAGAACCAGTAATAACGATCTGTGAGTTAGAAACGCCCTGACTTAGATCAGCCCAGTTGCTGTTTCAGTGAATCGATAAAATTTGAAATTTGAAGTAACGGACGTAAAACGCATTGCAAAAGATTATTCAAACTATGGTCTTATTAAAACTATTTACAATAATTATATCATAATATTTATATTATAAAGATCCCATACAAGAGATTTATCTTATATTAATGACACCTTGGCATAAAATTTGAATACTGGGGCATTTTTTGCATTGCCTTATTCAATACATGTGGCAACATTTCATTATGAATCAAAATATGTTCGTTCACTCGGGCTAAATATTGGAACAAATTTTGGCCAAAACCCAAATTTCTTAAAAACCTTCAAACGCCACAACTTCTCGTATTTTCTTGTATGAGACAGCATGCAATGGCATTTGAATAATTGTTCCTATAGCAGCAATGAACATTGCATAATGAGCTTATATTTACACAATTAATTCAGCACTGCTTACCTGAAATTCTGTCTCTATGGGAACCATTCGTTGTTTAGAGCTCCCTTAATTTTTAGTCAAAAGCAGGCCTTAATCTTTCTATGTATATTCTTATAAAATCTTATAATATAATTTTCTTAGGTTAACTTTAAGTATTACCTTGTATTTGTTTAAATTCCTAGCCTATTTTCTATCTAATTTACCCTACTGGTTCTTCTGAAAGCTACAATACTAGTTGCCTTGGTTACAAAGTTAGACTGGAACATTGGTTTCCATAGTAACATATATGACTGGAACACTGGTTTCCATGGTAACACATTTTGCTGGAACACTGGTTTTCTTGGTAACATATATTGTTTGAACACTGGTTTCCTTGGTTACATATTTAGCTGGAAAGTATCTTGACATCATCTCAAGCTTTGAAAATCATAGTACAGTAAAAGGGTTTGGGTTTTGATGTGCTATCAATTAAACATCGATCTGCCCCATTTCATAAGTCCACTAACGGCTTCAGACACAGTTTCCGGTGGCTTATCTGCAGGTTTTTCCGTTTTGGGCTTGTCTACAAGCTTCTCCGTTTTTGGTTTCTCTTGTTTTTGCTTTTCAGTAGCTCTCTCGACTTTTAACTTCTCAGCTGATTTTGATAATTCTACAGGTTTCTCAACTTTTGGTTGTCCAGTAGCAACTTTCTCTTTCCTAGACGTATCTGTGAACGTCTCTGTTTTTGGCTCTTCTTTTTGTTTTTTATCTGGTGTTGAACTTTTTTGACGTTTTTCCATTTGATCTGTGTCGGATATTTTAGGCTGAGTAGCGCCTTGAATAGGAACTTTACCTTTCTCTCTCAAGGTAGCAACCTTTGGCTTCTCAACATTTCCGACTTTTTGACTACCTAAAGCCTTTGTATTTTTGCTTTCCTTCCTTTGTGAGCCTGCAGAAATTTGAACTTCTTTTTTCGCTTGCGGCCCCTGTTGTAAAGCAACTTTTTCCTGTTTCGTATTTTTCAATTCGCTTTCCAGTGATCCTTTTCCTTGCAGTTTGTTCTTCTCTTGCTCCTTTTGCAACGCCATTCTTGCTTCTTGGTTTTGCTTGGCGTAAAAAGCTGCCATCTTTTCCAAATCTTCTTCTTCGTCAACTTTTGGAGGCGCTGGCTGTAGTTGAGTTTCTTGGTAAGCTTCGTATGAAACTTTCACTTTGCTCATGAATCGAGAAAGGTAACCAGTTTCTGCAGGTTGGTCACTGCCTTTACTTTGGGGCAGTCGGGGACTTGCACTTGTTGTTGCCTGTTTTTCTAGCTTTTCTTTCTCCTTATCCACTTGTGGTGATTTAGATTTCTCCTCAGCTTGCTTGCTTTCTTGCTTCCTAGATGTTTTCGTGCTAGCCTTATCAGTTAACTTGCTAGCAATTGGTTCCCTTTTCACTTTTTCTTCCGAGCCTAACTTACTAGTGCCATCAGTTGAAATCTTTTTCACAGATGAATCAGATTCCATTTGCTTTTGTTTTTTGTCCTCAGTAGATTTGCTAGCAATTGATTTTGCTTCTGAGACCAATTTACTAGTGCCATCAGTTGAAATCTTTTTTGCAGACGTATACGTATCAGATATTTGTTTTTCCTTTTTGTCCTTTTTCTCTTGAGTTTCAACATCACTACCCTGCTGCTCTTGCAAAGTTTTTCTCGCCTCTTCGTTTTTCTTAGCGTAATAAGCTGCCATTTCTTCAAGCTTTTTATCCTCTGCCATGGTATCTGTTTGTGTCTGGGGCTTTTTAACCTGTTCTGGTTCATTTACCTGCAGCATCCTCGTAACAAACTTAGATAAGTACCCTTCCCCACTTGGAGATTCATCTCTCTTTTTCTGTTCTTGTTCTTGCAACTTCTTCGGCACTTTTTGATCATTTTCATCAACTTTTTTCTGACTCATTTCTTTTGGGCCGCTTCCTTTGGCTTCTGTCTCTTTTGCGTAATGTTTTGTCTCAGCTGATGTTGTCTCGGCTGATTGTTTTGATGTGCCTGATCTTGATACAGATCTAGAAACGTACCATTCTTCAATCGGAGCCTCCTTTTTTTCCTGTAGCACTTCTGCTTTTCTACTCAGACTAACTTGTTTTGGGACACTTTCTTTAGCTTCTGTTTCTTTTCCTGGGCGGTTTTTCTCAGGCAACTCCGGTTGTTTTTTCATCACACCTGATCTTGCCTCGGCGTTTTTCTTGGCATAATAGGCAGCCATTTCTTCAAGATTTGCATCATCGTTAGTATTCGATAGTGATGGTTCTGCTTGACGAGTTTCTTGAGCTTGAGGTGCCAACCATTGAGATAAACTTGAAAAGTAATTTTCGTTTGTCGTTTGGCTTTTCTTTTCCTTGGACTGGGCGCAAAGGGGTTCTTTTTGAACACCGTCCAAACCTGCTTGACTGGTCTCTTTTTCCTTTGGTTGAATCCTTTCTGCTTGCTGTCCAGTTGTCTTGATGGTATCTTCCTCTGGGTTCCTTAAGCTTTTCGTCTTTTTTTCAGTTATCTTTCTTTGACTTGCTTCACCCTTAGCTTGTTCTCCTTCTTTGGTTTTAAGAACTGTTTTTGGAACCACGTTTTCGTTCATCGTGGAAGGTTTGTCATTCGTTGCAGCAGCTTCTTTTTGCTCCCTCATCAAAGCCTCCTCTTTCTTCTGTCTTGCTTCTTCGTTTTTCTTGGCATAGAACAATGCCATTTTCTCGAGGTCATCTTCTTCTGATTTCAGTGGTTCTAGATGAATTTCTTCCTCCGATGGAGCCAATATTTTTGAAACGAATCGTGAGAAGTAACCCCCCTCAGGTTTAGCTGTCTCTTCTTGGTTATCTTCTTTTAATGATTGTGATGATGTCGCTCTTACTAACTTTGAACGTAGGACATTAGGTTCTGCATGCCTTTTGGCTTCACTATGTTGAGAAAATATCATCTTTGTTCCAACGTTTTCCTCAAATGAAACCCGTTTTTTGGGTCTCTCAGGTCCTTTACTCTGTATGCTGGTTTTCCTTGGATATTGCTCTTTTGCAGATTTTGACTCTTCTTGCAGAGAAATTTTTCGGGTTCTCGATTTAGTACTATCCGCTTCGTCCTTATCTATGGCTGAAGTTTGATCTTGAGCTAAAGTTACATCTTTCAGTGTTGATGCTTGGCGTTCTTGAGCAATTCTAGCTTCCTGATTCTTTTTAGCGTAGAATTCTGCCATTTCTTCCAAGTCCATTTCTTCTTCCTTTTCTTCCTTTTCCAAGTAGGTCTTTTTAAATTGCTGGACTTCGGGAGAAGCTAGTACCTTCGTAACAAAACTCGAAAAGTATCCTTCTGCGACTGGTTTTGATTCCTCTTTTTTTGATAAAGGTTTTTCTGGACCTTTAGCCTGGGCCTTTCCAATTTCAGAACGTGTTACGCTCTTGAAGTCACCCTTCTCTTGGATATTTGTCTTTTTCACAGCAGGTTTCGGCTTCAACAATACCTCGGATTTAGAGCAAGAGACATCTTTAGCATCGGCTATTTTTACTTTAATCGATTCTTCTTTATTTTCTGAACCTTTAACTTGGGTCTTTCCAGCTTCAGAACGTGGTACGGTCATTACGTCATCCTTCTCTTGGGTATTTGTCTTTTTCACAACAGGAGGTGTCGGCTTCAGCAATGCCTCGGATTTAGAACAAGGGACATCTTTAGCATCGGGTATTTTTACTTTAATCGATTCTTCTTTACTTTCTGGACCTTTAACCTGGGTTTTTCCAGCTTCAGAACGTGGTACGATCATTACGTCATCCCTCTCTTGGATATTTGTCTTTTTCACAACAGGGGGTGTCGGCTTCGGCAATGTCTCAGATTTTAAACGAGGTACATCTTTAGAATCGAGTCGTCTTTCTTTATCGGGGATTAATTTCTCTTTGGGAATTTGTGCCGGCGCCTCTGAGGATAATACTCCCTTTTCCTTTTGGGTAAAATGATCTTTATCGCTATAACTTTTGCTTTCTAAGTTTACATCTCCCTTTCTTTTAAGTTTCGTAGTATCATGTTCGGGCAATTTAATTTTTTCGAGCGGCCTCTCGACATTTTCTTTAGGAGCTTTGTCTGATTCGCTAGGTTTTTTCTGTTGTCTTTCCTGCTGCTGCTTCGGCTGCTGCTTTTGTTGTTGCTGTTGCAGCTGCTGTTCTTGGCCTTTACGGTTTTGCTGCTCATCCTGCAAGACTCTGACAATAGTTTCTTCACTAGATTCATGACTAGTTTCTGTTTTGTCAATCGGCAATGATTCAAATTTGTCCTCCTTTTTTTCTAAATTCAACTGTCTACTTTGAACTTTTTTACTACTCTCATCTTCTTGAAAGATCTTTTCTTCTCCTACGCGTCTTGCTGCATTTTGGGGGAGTTCAAACCCAGAAACTTCTTCGGGTCCATATGTTCCCTCTGTGAGCACGTACTCCTTTTTTTCCTCATGTCGGGTATATTTCAAGTCGACTTTTAAACCGTCTCCCAATAATGGCGTCATAGAAGTTACGACGTCACTACTTTCTGTTTTTAGCTTGGTCTCTCTGTCGTGCTTGACTTCCATAGCCCTAGACGTATGAATATTTATTTCCCTAACAGTTGTATGATTTTCTCTAAACACTACCGAATAACTAAATGAGTCTTCCTCAATTTCTTCCACTTGAGAAAAAAAGGCCGTTTGTTGTAGTAAAACAGTTTTTACATCGTTGATCTTTACGATAGGAGTCTTAACACTTTTTATTTTCTCAATCTCTGGTACGTCTGCAGCTCTTGACAATTCAAAGTGCTGTTCATCGTCATTGACCACCATAAAAGCATTTTCACTTGCTTCGCCGACAGTAAATGTTTCTGTTACGCAATGCGTCTCGAAAGTATTAGCACCGTCAGGCAGGGGAACAGCTTGTTCGTATTCCTCTGACACGTTCTGCACAGTTTCTAGAAACAATAGTTTTGATAGTAGTTCTTCTACGAAAGGCTTTACGTCCAGATTAGTTGCTTCTTCAGCGACGTCGTCCTGCTCAAAAGCAGCAGACTCCTGGTTGGTATTTTGCTGCATTGTTTTAATCTTGTTTTCTAATTCCCTATTCGGATCCACTTGTTTTTCTACGGATTTAATACAGGAATCTTCCTTTTCTTTTTGTTCCAAATGTACTTCTTCAGGGCGTATAGCCATGCCTTTCTTACCAGTTTGTGTTGCTTTTACCAACTCAAGTAACGTTTTTGGCTTCTCTTCTGGCTGTACTCGTTTGTCCGGAGAATTTTTTCGTTCCTGCACAGCAGTGATTTTCGTAAGGAATTCATTTTTGCCATCTGCTTTGAGCGCATCGTCTGAAGAATGTTTTTGATTTTTAGGAGTGGGTGTAAAAAGCAATTCTTTCTTGTCGTCTGCTTTGCGTGCTTCATCTAAACGCTGTTCTTCCTTTTTCAAATCTTTCGTTTCAGGTTTTTCTTGAAGATGGAGCCTGTCACAGCTGACGTTGGGGTCCAACTTGGTGTCTTTGCTAGCCTCTTTACTCAAACTACCTTCTTTTACAGAAAGGGCTGTTGTGAGTGTCTGCTCGTGAGGGGTCGTCCCTTCAATATATTCATCATCAAAAATCCCAAGTTTAGAAAACAAAGCATCCCCATCCACTGGCTGCTTTTCAACTTTATGCTTAGGCTCAGAAATCACAGTTCCATTTTCTTTTTCTTCTTTTGCTACATGAGGCGTCTCTTTATGTTGTATGGCGTCACTAACTGCCGATGCAAATCGAGAGAATAGTCCTTCGGAAGGGTTCCTAGATTGAGATTCCTTTGCACTCTCTTTTGCGCTTTTGGCGCTGTCCTTTGTCTCGTCTGTTTTTATTGGTGTCGGGGTTTTTGCAGTTTGTACTTTTTGAAGTGCATGACTTTTCTGCTCAGATTTAGTAGGCTCTACTTCCTTCTCTTTGATATCTGGTTTTGATTCTGTTTTTGCCACTTCGTCAACTTTCGTATCTTTATGTTCTTTTTTGTCAGCGGAAATAGCTACTTCAGTTTTATCTACATTGGTATCTCTTACACTCCTGGCACTGTCTACTTCGAGTGCCTTTGCTAAATGTTGAACTGCTGGCAGCTTAGCAGCTTCATCTTTCTTCCCCTTCCCTTTTTCCTCCTGGCTCTTTTCAGCTTCGTTCTCTTGAACATAATCCGTTAATTTGAAAGCAAGTTTTGAAAACAAAGATCCCTTAATTTCGTCATGCCGTTCGGCTTTGGAACTCAAACGGTCACTGGTTTTAACGTCTTTTGGTTTGGAGGAATGCGTTTCGAGTTCTTTTACTCGCGGAGAGGGTTCTGGAGTTTTGCTTACGGGAATGTTACTTCCTTGGAGTTTGGGTTTCTTCTTGTCTGGAGTTGCTTTAGATTTATCGGCATCTTCATGACTCGATTCTACCAAACCAAACGCAAATTTTGCAAACAAACCTTCTTTGATGTCTTTTTTCTTTGCAGGATACGCTTTTTCTTGGTCAACGGCTTTACTCTGATCTTTTTCAACTTGCTTGCTTTCTATAGTTTCAATAGTTTTAATGCCTTTTGCCTTGGAGGAATGCGTTGCGGATTCCTTTGGTGATGGTTCATGAGTTTTGCCCTCAGAAGTTTTACTTTCTGGAAATTTGGGTACATTTTTGTCTGGAGTTCCTTTAGATTTATTGGATTCTTCATGACTCGATTCTACCAAACCAAACGCAAATTTTGCAAACAAACCTTCCTTGTCTTTTTTCTTTGCAGGATACGTTTTTTCTTGGTCAACGGCTTTACTCTGATCTTTTTCAACTTGCTTTTTTTCTACAGTTTCATTAGTTTTAATGCCTTTTGCCTTGGAGGAATACGTCGCGGGTTCTTTTGGTGATGGCGAGGATTCCTGAGTTTTATTGACGGGAAATCTACTTTCTGGAAATTTGGGTACATTTTTGTCTGGAGTTCCTTTAGATTTATTGGCTTCTTCACGACTAGAATCTACCAAACCAAACGCAAATTTTGCAAACAAACCTTCCTGGTTGTCCTTTTTCTTTGCAGGGTACGTTTTGTCCTGGACAGCGGTTTTACTCTGGCCTTTTTCAACTTGCTGGCTTGTTACAGCTTCCTTATGCGTTTGCTCTTTTGTCATTGTCGGCTTGAAAGGTACTGATTGAGTGAGTGATTCAGAACTCTCCTTCACGGCTTTGCTCGTAACTTGTTCAGAATCATTGGTAGTTTTACGAGCGGGGATTTTCTCCTGTTCTGAAGTCTCAACTAACTTATGGGCGAGTTTTGAGAATAAACTTTGGGTTACACCTTCTTCCTTTTTAATCGACTCCCCACTGTCCATTTTCTTTGGTGTCTCCTTTACACCTCCTGAAATATTTTCACTTTTAGTTAACGTAGTCGATGTAGTCTTGAAAGGTTTTGAATGCTCGAATGACTCATAACTTTTCTTCATGGGTTTTTCCAATTGTTGTTTAGAAATTTGTTGAGCTTTTGGAGTGGTGGTTTCCTCCTGTCCAGTAGACTCCACTAACTTATGGGCGAGTTTTGAGAATAAACTTTCTGTTGAGCTTCCTTCCTTCCTAATCGATTGCCGACTTTCGACTTTCTTTGATGTGTCCTTTACATCCACAGAAGTGCCTGATCTTTTAGGTGTTACTGATGGGTAACTTGGTGTGGTTGCAGAAAGCGTAGTGTTCATCTTAGGTTCAATTTGGTTTGCTTTTGAATCGGGTTTGTCTTCCGGTTTCTTTGGCACGGGCTGGTCAGAAACAGTTTCAGTAAACTTAAAACCAAATTTACCAAAAAATCCCTCCTTAACTTCCTCTTGCTTTTGAACTTTCTGTGGAGGTGTAGGTTTTTGACTACTTTCTGTCTCCTTGTCTTCATGAGGTGGTTTCTCTGGCTTTTTAGGTTCTTGTGACTTCTCATCTTCGACTGCAATATCTTTAGTCTCTTCCTTTATAGGCTCTCTTGCCTTTGGAACCTCCTCATGGTGAGAGGATTCCATCAGATGGAAAGTAAGTTTTGAAAACAAGCTTTCTTTGTGCTTAGTATCTGTTACCACAGTTTGTTTAGCCTCCTTTTCCTTATGCAAAGTATTTTGCATACTTAATTTTGAGTCCTGCGTTGGCTTTGGTTCCCGTTCCACAATATTACCATCTGTTTTGTCTAAAGGACTGTTCGACGGCAAAACTTGCGACTGTGTGGCAGGCCCTTCGGCTGCCTTAGTTGGCTTTTGTTTTTGCTCTTCTGAATGTTGAACACCTTTGAAACCCAGTTTTGAAAATATACTCTCTTGTTTCTCTTCTTGCTTCAGATGTTGCTTTGTGGAAGACTTTGGAGCTGATTGCGACTTCATTGTAACCTTTTCATCTTGTTTTGATTCTTTCTGAGCAAAGACTCCCTGCGTTTCTTTCTTTTGCGTAGTAGAAGCGGTATCCTCAGCGATTGTTTTAGGTACAATCTTTTCATTTGAGCTTTCTTTAACAGTATCTTTTTCTTCAGGAATTTCGTGATGTTGAATAGCCTCGGACACCCTAGATGCCAGTCGAGAGAACAAACCCTCGCTTGGTTGCACAGGTATTTTATGCTCCTCAGTTCTTTGATCCTTTTGCTCTTGACCTAGTTGCGCTTGACTTTTTTGCGCAACTGGTTTAACATCAGGAGCTTTTGCCGTCGCTCTAGTTTCTGCTTCTATTCCTGTTTCTTTTGTTTCGTCCCTCACCAATTTTCTTTTCTCTTCATCAGCAAGGCGTTCGGTCCCTTCCTTTTCTCTTTTTTCTTCTTCTTCCATCGATTCTGCCATCTTTGAAATAAGCTTCGAAAAGTACCCTACATCTTTGCTTTTGCTGTCTTCTTTTTTGACTTTTTGACTTTCTTTTTCTTGTGTTTTAGCTTCTTTAACTTTCTCTATTGGAATCCCGAATGCCCCTTTACTTATATGCGACGGTGTGATTCCTTCCATCTTATATGTCTTGGTTTCTTTTTCCTTTTCGATGATTTTAGTCTCAGCTGGCTTAGCGAAAACATCTTTTGCAGTTTCCTGTTTGGTCCCGAATGCCCCTTTACTTATATGCGACGGTGTGATTTCTTCCACCTTATATGTCTTGGCTTCTCGTTCCTTTTCGATGATTTTAGTCTCAGCTGGCCTAGCGGAAACATCTTTTGGAGTTTCCTGTTTGGTAACCACATTGCGCTTTTGTGTTGGAGAACCCGTAAGGTTGAACCACAACTTTGAGAAAGATCCTTCCTCAGAAGTCTTCATTTTGGTAGGCTCGCCTTCATCCCTCGGTTTGCCAGCATTACTTTTGATACGCTTCTCGGGCTCAACCTTACTTTCAGATACTGTACTTTTGGTTTCAACTTGGGGCGTTTTCTTTGGGTGCGTCAGAGATTTGCTAACTTCCTGATCTTGGCTTTTGAGACCTGCAGAAGGGATAGTTTCCTTGACATCAGTCTCTCTTTCCTTGGTTTCCTCTTTACGTGGGTGTTGACCGGCTCCTATCATGCTAAAAGCCAATTTAGCAAAAATTCCCTCGGTTTCTTTGGTTTCTATATGCTTTGGCTTATCTGAAGCTATTTGTTTGGATTTCATATTTTCTTCTGTTATATCAACTGGCTTATGGATTTTATCTTTCTCGCTTGCAGATTCTGTATCCATGGTTTTCTTTATAACCGGTGTTGCCTTTTCAGTGTCTTCTTTGAGTGTCTTGGCTTTCAAAGTAGAATCTTTCTTCTCAGTTTCAACGTTTCCTCGTGTGTGCGATGGTGTTTGCGAGATTTCGGCAGATGTTTTCGTTTCCTTGGAATCTGCGGCTTGACTTGGTGCCAAGTTACGAAATTTAAAAACGAGTTTGGAGAAGGTATCAAGTTGTTCTTCATCTTTCTCCTCTACTGGTTGCATTTCGAAATCCTTCAAAATATCAACTGGGTGGCTTTCAGTTGTTCTTAATTCTCCCTGTGCTGCTAATATGTCCGGAGGCTTAACTTCCACCGTTTCTTGCGTTATAACAGATGGCGAAGTAGGTATTTGATTTTCAGGTTCTTTTTCATGGAAATTTAAAGTGTCCGGCAGCTCAATCTCCTTTTCATCATGGTGTTCGCAAGGAGGCTCATCACACACATCTTGTGTTGTCTCGGCCATTGAAGACGTAATGATGCCCCTATTTTCAGTAGGAGTGCTAGGTTTTTCTTTTGGTTGATCATTCTTCTCATCAAGAAATTTTTGTCTAAATTTCATCATCATTTCGGAAAAGTCTTCGTTCTGTTTTGCAGCTAATGCTGCTCTTTCAGCTTTATGCTTCAATATTTCGGCCTCTTGATCGCTGCTCTCTTCTTCTCTTTCCTCTCCATCCTGGGAATCGTCGTGGACTGAAAACGATGTTATGTATAGTACGTTTTCCTCTGCTTTCTTATGCTCCTCGATTGTGCTGCGTTCTTTGTCGTTCTCTTTATCCTGGAGTACGTGTAGACCTGCCACTTGTGGAACAACATGCGATCTAAATCCGTCTCGATCTTCATCCTTCGATGGCTCCTGTTCAATATGACAAGGCTCGGCACCAAATTCTTGGTCTTTGGTTGAAATCGACCCCTTAGTCATGATATCTTTTGATAGAAGGTCAACGGTCTCGTTTGAAGATGATTCTTTGGCTTCTTCCCAGTTTTGATCTATGTCCTTCATAATTCCATCCCATGTGTCACTGATTCTTCGTCTGGTGCTCTTCAGTGTTCTTAGAAAGTCGAATGGAGCTGGTTCAGGGTTTGTTTGTCCTTCCTCGTAACTGACGTCTTCCCTGGCCACCTGCTGTTGGTCTAGAGTCTTTTCTTCGTAAGCTTGCGCAGGGTATGGTTCTGTAAGGCCTTCGTCCATAATCGAGTCAACATTCAACTCCTTTTCGATTTGTTCAATGTCATTTGAAAAATCATATGAAGCCTTTTCCAACTCTTTCTGCATTTCCTCATCTTCCAATGCAATAACCTCTAAAATTTCTGTAGCGTCTTGGAGCCGTTCTTCTTTAACAGCATCTGTTATAAAATGCATCTTTGGAATCAGTACATTGGCCTCTGGTAATGCACTGGAAATCGGCTGGTCGGATGTACTCATTACGTCCCAATCGCTCTGTTGTTGCCTTTCGAGAGCCCCTCGTGCAATGTCATCCAGGGTTTGATCATCTAAGACATCATACGGGTACTCAGACTGGAATCCCTCGTAATCGTAGCTCAACATCTCTTCATCTGGTCGTACAGTACTGAAGCATTCTTCAAGTTGTTGTCCCAGTTGATCCTCAATATCTATTTCAGAAGGGACATCGAATGTTTCGTCAAAAATCGACATCGGCGCTTCTTCTTCTTTTTCGTTCTCTTGTGTTTCATATTCGTTCACATCATAGCTATTCCAGTCAGTAACAGTCTCACCTTTCATTGGTTTATCATAGCTCATCATTTCAGCGACCGGGACGTTATCCTCTTGGTCCTGCCAGTCTTCGCGCAAAAAGGGTTGAGGTGACTTCGGACGTGCTTGCTTATAAGCGTGAGATTTTCGTCCGCTTACTCTTTCATTGACGTCAAACGCGAATGGAGGCAACGAGTCAGAATCAAGGTCGTCAAAACCATCCTGCGCTTGAGGCACTTGCGCCTTTGGTGGAGCCAATTCTTCATAAGTGTCCAATCTCCTTGACGTATCCATTTCAATGATATCAATACCTTCTGCGCCACTTTTAACTTCTTGTGGTGTAGGAGTGAGCTCTCGAGAAGATACTGGGGTATCACTGGGCTCTTTTGTCTTTTGTGCTGTAGGACGGAAAATTGCCTTCTCTCGCTGCCACCCGTATCGGAAAACAGGTACTGGCACATCCTTAGGCTCTTCTTTTGCAAAAATTGATGCATAATCTTCATTAGTTCTATCTACGATGCTCTTTTCCATAGAACTTTCGCTTGTTTTTCGAGAAGAAGAATCTGGCATGACTGCCGTATCTTCAGGTTCAGTCTTTGTGGAGAACTCTCTAATGAGCTGTGAGATAAGTGCTTTTCTGCGCGCTTCTTTGTCGTCCTCTTTCACAGCTGCAACAGATGTCCCAGTCTCACTGACCTCAGATGTTTCGCGATGTTCTGTAACTGAGAATTCCTTGATAAGCTTTGAAATTCTTTCTTTCTTGCGCTCTTCTTTTATGTCAGTTTCATCTTGCTCTTCGACTTTCTCTTGATCACGGATTGTGCTTGCAATGACAATGTCATCAGAAAATTCTGTTTCTCTCATAGCTGGCTTGACTTTCGTTTCTGGAGCCATTGCTTCGAAGGGTTTTTCAGCCATGGAGAATTCGTCGATGAACTGCGAAATTCTTTCCTTTCTTCTAGCTTCTCTAATACTCTCTTCCCTCTTTAGTTCGTCTTTATTTTCTTCAGAAATCTCATCTATATTTCCCTTACTTGAAACTCTCTTTTCGCGTACTTGTCTTGTCTCTTCTTCTTCCTTCATTGAAAAATCCCTGATAAACTTTGAGATTCTTTCCTTCCTCTCGGCCTCTTTTACAGACGCCTCATCCGGAGTCGCATCTTCTATTACTATCTCTCTTTCTAGCAACTCAACGTCTTTGCTTATTTCATCTTTTTGCTTAACGTCTTCCTCTTTGGAGGAAAAAGCCTTGACAAACTTGGAAATTCTTTGCTTTCTTTGAAATTCTTTGACAAGGGCTTCATCTTGAACAACATATTCTTCATCCTCTTGCTGGACTACGGGATTGTCTTTTGCAATATCAGATTGTTTTTCATCTTCTTTCATAGAAAACTCTTTAACAAATTTAGAAATCCTTTTCATTCTTTGTTCTTCCTTGATAGAAACTTTGTCCGGATCTTTATCTTCGCTCTTTTCCTCCGGTTCTAGCGTGWCATGTTTCTTAATTATTTCAAGTTCTTTATCTTCTTCTTTCATGGAAAATTCCTTTACATACTGTGAAATTCTCTCCTTTCTACGGGCTTCTTTTATAATAGCTTCTCTCTGCCTTTCGTCTTCAAGCTTCTTTGCTTGATCAAACGTTGTATCTGGTTCAGATTTCCCAAAAACGCCTTTAAACATTCGAGAGAATACTCCTTGTTCTTCCTTCTTTTGTTCGGCGCTCTCCTTTATCTCTTTTTCTGCTTGTCTCTTGTCTTTGGAAACATCTTTAGATTTGTCTACGGTTGAAGTTTCATGACAAGTCTTCTCCTTGGTTGATGAGTCTCCAGAGAATTTTTGCTCCTGCTGCTTTTTTAGGTCAGAATCAGAGACATTTCTTTTAGGTTGTTGCGAAGCTGAAGAGAAAAATCCTCCGAACAGACTTCCCCTTTTGTCACCTTCTCCTGCAACATTTTTATAAGATGCACCGCTGTCTTTTCTTGACGTATCGCCTTCATCTTGATTGGTAGGTTGCGGAGATGTAGAGAAAAAGCCACCAAACATGCTCCCTCTTCTTTCTTCTTCACCTGAAGTTTTTTGGTTGGCGTTGTTGTCTTTGTTGGATGACGTGAACCAAGAGAAATACCCGCTTTTACTTTCTATGCTTGTGGCTGCTTTGCTGTCTTGACTTTCATCATATTTCTTCGCAGGCAACTGGCTTTTCATTTGCGTGACATTATCTGGTTCAACATTCTCTTTGGATGGGAATGAATTGTTGTCAACTGTTTCCAAAGAATCTTCTATTTGCTGTACATCTAATTCATCCTCAATTGGCATGTTCTTACTAACCGTTTCTTCAGCTCTGATATCCTCATTTATATTTTCCTTCGTTCCTCTCCACCCTTTTTCTTCAACTTCTTCGAGCTTCTCAAGAGGAGGTGTTTTTGGTCTTTCAAATTCCTCCACAAAAGAGCGCGTGAGACCTGGTATTCCTGTATGGCCTGACACTGTTCCCGTGTTAGATGCCCCAATAGTATCCCTCTGATCACTAATCCCATGTTCTCTTGAAATCTTTGCCATTTCTGTGTCCAGCGTTGGTTCAACATTAGCTTTTTCGGTCGCCTGAGAAGAAAAGAATCCACCGAAAAACCTCCCTGTACTAGCCTCTTCAGGTTTGCCCACTTGTTCTTTTGCAATGTCTGCATCTTTATCAGAAAACCAAGAGAAGTAGCTTCTCTTTGCAGCGGGAGCCTGGTCTTGTATATCCGTTTCCTTAGCAACTGTCACTTTAGTTATCCCCTTGTCTTGTTTTTCCAGAATAGGCTTCAAGTCAGACGTTTCTGACGCCGTGCCATCAGTTTTTTTGTTATCAACCGAAACTCTGGTAGCAGCTTCTCTCGCAAGTTGGTCTTCGCTCGCGTTCACTGCCGTTTGCGTAGGGGCATCGGAATTCTTACGCTTGTCTGATGAGAAAAGCCCACCAAAACGATAACCACTGGATCTATTCTCATCGACTGAAACTTTTCGCTCGTGTTCAGACTCAGAGTCCTTACTGCTGAACCAAGAAAATTTCCTGGTCTTAGACAACTTTGTCTTTTTGTCTTCTGGTGGATATTCTATGACTTCACCAAAGAGACCCACATTTTCATCATCGTAGATCGAAAAGTCATCATCAAAAGTTTTGTTTGCTTTATTTTTATCTTGTCGATACAATCCTTGCTTTGTCTGCTGCTGCTGATCTCCATAGTAACCATAATCTACATCATCTTGGTAGAGCATTCCCGAAGCCTGAAGCGTCTTGCTGTATTGGTAACGAAGTTGATCGTCTCCTTCGTAGTTTTTTCCACTGCATGGCCCAGTGTGAAAATTCTCGATATCTTCACTTTCCATACGCTTGAAAACCTTCATTTCCACAGGCCTTCCACTATTGCTTTCTTTCCTGGTCTCCCTCTTGCTCTCCCTCCTGCTCTCCCTCCTGCTCTCCCTTCTGTTCTCCTCATACTTGTTTCCATCTTGAGGAGACCTCTTTCTTTTAGCGTCTTTATCGATGTCTGGATAATTCTGGTCCGGAATGTTCTCTCCTTGCGACTCGAATCCCAAATACGAGAAAAATTTCCCAACAAAACCAGGTTCATCCTTTGAATACAGATGACTTAGTTCATTCTCATTGTTATCTACTAAAGTCTGTGGCTCGTTTTTGATTGGATAATCTCTTCTGCCAAGTGGGTTGTACTCTTCTTCGACGCGTGACTCGCTCCCGTACGACGGAAAATCATCAAAGCTATTCTCCCTAGTCGCACTACTAAAGAAGCTTGAGTCTACACTTTCTCTTTTTTCCTCGTACTTGTATAACTTCAGCTCTAAAAGGTTACCCTTCCTGCTTCTATTGTCTATAGTTTCATTAATATCTGGTACTAGTGGAGAATTCTGATTGGACGAAGGGATCTGGACCTGACTCTGGTACCCAGACTCCGAGTATACAGAGTCACGTCCACTTCCCATCGATATAGTACGGAACCTATTTTGGCTGTCAGACCTCCAAGTATAACTTTGATTATTTTCTGGAGGGATAGACTGGTACCTAGTCTGATTCTCATACCCATACCCATAATTATAATCAGAATCACATTCATTATAAGAAGAATAAGAAGAAACTTGGTTTCTAGATTGGTTCCTAGACTGGAACCCAGGCATAGAGACAGTACCAGGACCGCGTCCGTAAGGCGTCGAGTAGGCATGGAACACTGTCCTAGCCTCCCAACCAAAGAAATACAACACGTTTTTAGCAAGAATACTCACTACTGATGCGTCTTCACTATACTGGTCAATAGGCCCCATCTGCTCGTATGATGACGCGTAGGCCTGGTGCTGAGGCGATCCGTAAGGGTCCTGGTACTGATACTCTTCACCTGCGTAGGGTTGGGATCTGTTCGGTTGATGGAAGGCTGTGGTCGAGTAGTTCCCAGGAACTGCTGGTTTGCCATTCGGTGTCGCTGGGGCGGCTACACAGCTCTCGATTAGTAGTGTGCACGTCTGAGGTGCTGTTCGTAGTAGGTTGACAGCCTGAAAGATGATAAGTAATCAACCTCGATCATAACGAATCGCACTGACATCTACCAGATAGCTGTACCTTTTTCATCTTGACAAAAAAGTTTAGGCTCAGGTCAAACAGGTAAAACTTCAAATGAGGCGAACCTAACTGAAACAACAGACAACAAGGCGGTCTTCTCTGATGTTATTATATTCAGCTTATGTGAAGTTTGACGTTTGACATGAGCCTTAGGAATTTTCCTCAAACGAATTGTTCTATTCAACTTAAGTGAAATGTTATCCCATAGACTGTTATTCTAAGATAGCGAAAGTGGTGCCCTGTTGTTTCGCTTCGAAGCAAACATCTTTTCACAGGGGGGGAGGGGGACTTATCTTCCATATATATCAAACATATTACGCCAAGCAACTGGAACCGTTAGGTCTAAGGCATAGCGCGCGCATTGTAGTGCGCGGTATCTGATGCTGGTTCAAGCTCACTCATATTATGTAGTGCAGTAAATAATATAACAGTGGAAGATAAGTGTCCCCCCTGCCCCCCGTGATCTTTTTTTCATCAAACCTTAATCTAATAGTTCGATGAAACTCAAAAGAGTAAAAATAAAATAAAAGAATCTCAAAAGAATGATACGCGGTCTAAAATACGATTACCCTCAAGCTAAATATATCCTTCTCAAACAATTTCTTTGGAAAATGTACAAGCCGCAACTCTTGTTCAAAATGGCGAAAGAAATTAGACCTACTTACGTCTTGTCTCGAAATGCCTTCCAGACTATTGCCATTGATTTCCAGTATCCTGTCACCTTTAGATAAAAATAACATACGGCCATTTAGTAATCACGCCTGTTTCAAAAAGTTTTATGCCGATAATACACTGAGTTTCATGAATTCAGCTTATAGAGTTGTTGTGTAGTTGACGTTATGCGTTATTGTGCAATTCCTGGGATGCATGTGACGTCATAGCCGCCATGTTGGTTGACTTTAACAAAATATTTAGTTTTGAATCTTTGTTTTGAAACGACATGGCATGCAGGTCTTTTGTCGCTAAATTCTCATCAAAAGGAAGAGCACGCCACCAAATGGGTTATGGTATTCACTTGTTACTAAAAATAGATGCTTACCAATGCTTATTTTTCCACTGAGGGCAGCTGAGCCATCAGGCGCCATGGTTTTGACGTATATTCCTCCTAATTCGATTCCTCCCTGTTTGAAATAAAATATACATACTTTATTATATATTATCACTAACTTGATTAACAGAAATATATAAAAAATAAATTCGCCGATTACCTATGGCGGGCTATTACAAATCTTGCATACATTCTCAATACGCGCCGTTACGGGTAGTGTTGTAAAACTATTTAAATCAGTAATGGCGCCCTTTGTAACATAACGCTTTTGTTTAAATTTTTCTAAAAATTTTGCGAAAACATATCTATCTAGAGTTGATGCATCCATTTCCGAAAACAATTATTACTTTTTTCTTTATTTAGATTTTTGTCTTGTTATTTTTAAAATCCGCATTCCGCATTCCATTCCTGATTTTTGTCCTCAAAAGTCGAATTTCTGGCTAACTTGAATCCAAAGTAAAACGTAAATGATTTCAAATTTCAGTCCTCAGATTATAGCATCATTATTAACTAAGCAGGAATATTTGAAGAAAAAAATAGTTGAAGAAACTTGACTATCGTGGTGTTTCGATCGCCCGGGTCAGCCTAGAAAAATAAAATAAACAGATCCGAAAAATAAACTGAGACAATCTAGATGAAATGCAAGGGGAAAAAATAAGCAAAAAGCATCAGTTTTAAGTATTTGAACTGTTATGATTATGGAGTAAATCACTTTAGGTAGGATATTGTCCTCGAAGGCACTGATTTGAAACATTCAAATTATTATTTTACTACTCAAACACGTAACATTTTAATACTGTTTGGTAGCTTGTGAATTGTATAAATTAAAACTTACTCTAAATATTAAAGATACTTTTAAAAGTAATACGATTTGAGTATTATTTTATATTAAACAAAAAAAAAAAAAACAGAAAATAAACGATTTTGACTACGTTGATTGATTGCCTTGTGCTTATATTGAGTTAATTAGCCCTTAATTTACATGTTTAGGGGGTATAGCTCAGTGGTAGAGCATTCGACTGCAGATCGAGAGGTCACCGGTTCAAACCCGGTTGCCCCCTAGTTTTTTTTCTCAATCTAAAACTTTTTTTAAAAACTGCCTTTTACATTTAAATATCAACTAAGATAGGCTACTAGCTATTTTAAGACTTTTATTTTTTAAAGTCTTTAATTTTTTTCCAAATCCCGAAGAAAAGAAAAACACCATCTACTTACGATAATATTGAGGCCCAAGCCACCATTGATTTTTTGTAGTTGGACGGGATATACGCTGACCTAAAAAAAAAGATAAATATACGTAGTAAGAGATAAAAGCACAATTTTATTCTTTTGTATACTCTATTTCAATGTGTGGGATCCCTGTGTTGAAGTTATCAAACTGCTAAAAATAGACACTTTTAGCTTGGGTGTAGTGTTTTCGTATTTCAGAGAACAGAAGAGAAAACGCAACAAAAGAGAAAGAAAAGAACGCAACAAAAGAGAAGAGAAGAGAGAATTAAATAA